ATGTTTGACAAAATGCTGATGAGCCACTAACTTTGAATATAAGTTCATGACACAGTTTTGAGCCCAGACCTGTAACAGGCCTGCTCATTGTAAATTTCTGGCTGATGTCCTTTCAAAGGCCTTGGACAAACTGAACAGTTACTGGCAAGCTGATCAATGTAGATTAAAATGAAAGTATGATGAATGCAGTTATTACAACAATTCAACTAGGCTGTGTTTAGCGCTTTAGCTCTGAGTTCCAGAAACTGTAATCCTACAGCATCTTCTATATGATGCTGTGGTAGAATAAGGTAAGCTCTGTCTTTATTCAGTCAGACTACTTGGGACTAGTTAACCAGAGCAAACAGGGATAATTCCTCCAAATGCTTGAAATCTCACATCAAGTTCAGGACAATAATAATGCCAAAACTGATGGTGGGAAAACATGTTGTCCTAAAGGATTAAAATTCATAATAACTAGATCATGGAAACTCTTAATACAATAATGCCAACTGATTCATATTTTAGTACTTTTTTAATACCAGGCAAAGACATTTTCATTTTTCTAGATTGTGTTTGGAGGAAAGATAGTTGTTCCCATGTTTATATTCTTCATAATATATTTTTATTTGAAAACTAATAAACATAGCAGTATAAAAGTTGAACAGATAGATAAGTGAATGTGATATTTTAACCTTCAAGTGCGTTTCTGTTCCACAGGCCTTCCAGGGTGAAGATATGCCTGTATTTGACCTTTTGATCTTAGGAGTAGGACCAGATGGACACACCTGCTCTCTTTTTCCAGATCATCCCCTACTACAGGTGAGCCAAAAAGAGGAACTGTAGGTGAATATTTTTTTTTTTGTCTGCTCCTGCTTGGGTTGAAGATCCTGTTAGATGGAGTCATGGCTGTTGCAGATTGAAGGAGAAAAAATCCTGCTGGCTATTCTGAGGAAGCCCACAGTAATCAGATTAAAGTTTAGTGTAATTTACTTATGACAGATTATCCTTCTAAAAAGTGATGTGTTATAACAAGTCTATTGAAATAGATTTTCCTTGGGCAGCAGCAGGAAATAATTGGGCAAATGTGCATTGAGAACAAGAGTTATCCTTAATTCTGAGAGTCTTGCTTTTTAAAGAAGTCTAGAGCCAGAGCTAATGTCTAATGGCTACTGTGAAGTATTAAGATGTCTGTCAGTATGATTGATCTGCCTGGGAGACAACTTTGCCTCTGCTGTCCTTAGTTAAACTCCCAACTCGTAACAGAAAACAATGGGACAGAAAGTCAGAGAACCGCCAGGGAAGGGCAGGAGAGAAGAGAGCATTTTCCTCAATTTGCCATTGGCCAGATGTTTTGCCATTGGCCACATGTCCCAGAGTAGCTATTTTGTAAATAGGCAAGATCTCCTGCCATGAGGATCATTTTGAGGAGCTCTTACGGTACAACTTAATGTTCGAATTCTAGTCATGCCCTCCAGACCCCAAAAGTTGCCTATCCTAGCATGCTGATGCCTATCACTAGCTGGGACCATCAAGAAAGTAACAAATGGCAAAATGTAAAAAAAAAACTTGTGAAAGTAAGTATAATTGATTCCCTGCAATTCTTTCATAAATGGCTCAAAGATGCAAGTGAGCCGATCTAGTGACAAGTAGAATATCCAGTCGTTGGGGAAGCCATAAAGGTTTTTGAAATAGACATGGATTGGCTTCTCTTGTGGGTGTTAATAAAAATGTTCCTTTTCCGTGCTTTCCTTTTGGTCTTGCATCATCTGTTCCTGTAATTTCTGACCCTTTCTTTGTTTGATCTGAGCAACACTTTAGACTGTACTGAAATGGAAGCTTGAAAATATTTGGTACTGACCAGTTTAGAGATGGACTGCTTAATTTTCAATCCTATAAGTGATACATAAATTAGATTAAAATGTAGATACCTATATCGGAGTTTCAGTGTAAGTACCTTTGAAGAAAGTGGTGATTGGGCAAATTAAAGGTGATCGTGTGATTTTTAGAAGGGGGAAAATGTGAAGGTGTGTGTGTCTGTTCCATATTATCATAACACAGTAAAATTGAAATGGCTTCCAACATTATGAGTTTGCAGTTAACTAGTACATCAGCTATAGTTGAGGCTGATCCCCAACAGTTAAAGCATCAATTGGTTAAACAACAACTTTAATTCCTCAAACTTTGTTCGTGTTTGATAATCTATACTTGTATTCCATGGGAAAATCCTCTTACAGCAGGGGTCTCCAAGTTTGACAACTTTTAAGATTTATGGACTTGGGGCACACAGAGATGTTCTATGTCAAGGACCATTTGAAAACAAAACATTCCAAGAGCTGGTTAATTTTGAACACTGTGCACACTTGTAAGATAATTTGTTCTGTTTAAGACCTTGAGAATTAAATACTGTGCTTTATTTGTGTGGATAAAGTAAACCTAGCTGT